CCCCCCTGCGTGCCCCTGCAGTGCTGCCAGATCCTGGTAGTGAACGGCGCGGAGCTGGACGTCCGCGACCGCGACGGATACACGCCCGCCGACCTCTCAGACTACAATGGCCACAGCCACTGCACCCGCTACCTGCGCACCGTGGAGAACCTGGTACGCCTGGCCGCGCGGGGGGGGGGGGGGGGGGGGGTTAAAAAACCCCGCCCTCGCGCCCCCACAGGTAGGTTTTGTTCACCCTTTTGGTACCGAGGAAGCTGGAGTGCAGGGACGCGGAGCCCCTTGCCTGGACCACACGGGGAGTAAGGGCCCCAGGCCACTTCCCCACATGACTCTCAGCCGGGACCACTGGTCATGGAGGGGGGGGCGGGGGTGGAGGCAAAAAGTCAAGAGAAGCAGGACCAGGGCCGGGAGAAATCACCGGACACATGCGAATGGCACAGTTCGGTTCCTTCAGCTGCCACCGCCCGCATGGATAGCTCATTTCCTTCTCGCCACCGTCCTCTGAGGTAGGGGTGTCAGTGTACCCATTTCAGGGTAAACCGAGTCTCAGGGAGGCCCAAGCTCACACGGTACTAAGTGGTGGAGCCCAGTGGCCTGGCCTAGAGCCACCTCTTGACCACCCCACTGCATGCTCACTCAGTGAGCTGCTTCCGAGCTAGAAACCTGTGCTGGTCTTTTTAAATTACCTTAGTCTGGTTACACGGCCGAGAAGTGACCCACCAGGGCCTGAGCGCAGTGCGGCGGCCTCTGCGTCAGCCGGTGCGATGCCTGCTTTGGGTCAAGAGGGAGGAAAGAGGGGAGGCCTCCCAGGTGCCATCACAAGGGCACTGACCAGCTCCCAGGGCAGCCTGGCACGGGAGGGGCTGCCCGAGAGAAGGGGGTAGCCCCCGACCTGTGAGCACATGGGGCCACCCCGTCCTGGGGACGCGGGAGCACAGCCAGGCGCAGGGTCAGAGGCGACCCGGACCTGAGGAGGAATCTCCCCCGAAAGGGTCGCGCAGAGGGGTGCGGGTCAGCATGCGGTGCTCCCTGCGCCGGGCACCTAAGCAGGAAAACACCGCGGCCTTTGGGCGCCAGAGGTGAATTCCCTCCGCTGAGAGTCTGGGTGGCAGAGCCCCACGTCCGCTCCGTGGGCACCCGGGACCGCTCCGCGCACCTGCCGCCGGCGGGCACCTGCCCGGTGCCTCAGGCTGTAAGCTCAGCCAGTCTCCATGGGAAATGAATATAACAGCTGACGCGTGTGGCACTTACTGGCCACTGGGCCCTGGCACTTCACTCACTTTTAAATCATTTTTACAACCTAACGGGGCCGGCAGCACTGCTCCCCCATTTCCAGATGAAGGAACGGCTAAAGGAGAGATAAGTGACTTGCCCAGAGTCAGCAGCTAGTAAGTGGAGGAGGTGACATTTGAAGGCCGCATGCCAGGCCGCAGAGCCCGTGTCCCGAACATGTCATCTGTGGGGTCAGGCCTGGCGCTCCCAGTGCCCACTGCTGTCAGCCAAGAAAAGGGCATCTTCAGCTGCCCCGCTCAGCTCCTGTGGTTCCCCTTGGCTCCTGGGGTAGGCAGCAGGGATGCCCCCTGAAGTGTGTGGGGTGTGGGGCCGGGCCCCTCACTCAGGTGGGCCCAGTGATGGTGGTGGCAGATCCCAGCCGCAGAGGATGCTGGCCCAGAAAAGGCCAACAGGCCCAGAGCCCCTCATTACAGGCCAATGAGGGCGGCTGCAGAGCCGTTACCTGGCGCCGGCCTGCCTCCGCTCCCGGGGGGCCTGTGACACTTCTCTGTCAGGCGGGCGTGGGGCAGGGAGGCGCAGGCCTGGGCAGGAGCAGCGAGCGAGCGAGCAGGCTTGCGGGCAGCAGAGCAGCATGGGCAACGTAAGCAGGGCCCCCACGCCCATGCCAGGAGGGCAGGCCTGGGGTGGGGTACGGACAGTGGTGGGGGGTGGCTGGCTGGGAAGCCTCAGCTCCAGATGCCCAGGTAGCTCAGCTGGGCCACCCATGCCCCTCTCTTTCCCCGAGGGCCCTGCCTGGAGACAGGGACTGGTGCGGGATTTGCCTAGTCGGGCCAGGACAGACAGGGCTTGCTGGCCAGGTAATGGGGGATCAGTCCTCCCTGCAAGCTGGGGGGCCTTGCACCCCTCCCCTGCCCCCAGCTGCTGCCAGCACTCTCACCAGCTGCAGAGCCTGGCCCCTCCCCAAAGATGCACTGGAGCCCAGGCCCTCTGCCCATCGAGGAGGAAGAAGGCGACTGCCCTGTGGCTCGCCCCTGGGGGTGCACCCAGGGCCCCCCTTCCCGCAGCCTCTCAACCCTCCTGAGCAGGGAGGGGCCAGGAGTAGGAGTTTCCAGGAGCCCAGGTCCTGCTGCTGGGGGGCGGGGCTTGAATCTTAGCCCAGAAAGGGCAGCGGCTTAGCCACGGTCACCCAGCCAGGGCTCTGAGCAGGGCCCTGCCCCAGAGCTCGCTGGCCGTGGGGGCTGGCTGTGCTCACGGCCTCCGCTCCTCCGCTCAGAGTTTGGAGCACCGCGTGCTGTCGAGGGACCCGTCCACCGAGCTCGAGACCAAGCAGCCCGACTCAGGCATGTCCTCGCCCAACACCACCGTGTCCGTCCAGCCACTGAACTTCGACCTCAGCTCGCCCACCAGCACCCTCTCCAACTACGACTCCTGCTCATCCAGCCAGTCCAGTATCAAGGGCCGGCGTCCCCCGCGCGGTGAGTGGACTGATGGGAAGAGGGAGGAGGGGGAGCAGCCCCGGGCCACCTCTGCCCACAGCTGACGCTGGAGGCTGCCCAGGCCACCAGGAGAGGATGCTGGTTCTGGTGACAGATAGACACTCATGTTTGTGTGTCCCCATCACAACATACATGTATATCCACACATTTGCACATGCACCTCGCACACGATAGAATATCCTTACTCACACATGCACACACTGTCCCCAGAACTTACACACTCAAGAGTGCACACTTGTGCCCTAGCTGGTTTGGCTCAGTGGATAGAGCATCAGCCTTCGGACTGAAGGGCCTCCCGGGTTCGATTTCGGTCAAGGCCACGGGTTGCAGGCTTTCGGGCTTGATCCCCAGTGGAGGGCATGCAGGAGGCAGCTGATCAAGGATTCCCTCATCATTGATGTTTCCCTCTCTCTCCCTCTCCCTTCCTCTCTGAAATCAATAAGATATATATTTTTTAAAAGAGTGCACACTTGTACATGTGTGCACACAATATACAGATATGAATGCACAACCACCTATTGAGCTGCGCAGATATATACACACACCTACACTACACACAGGCACACAACTCTCCATTCTATACCCCAGCTGTGCTCACACACACCCCATGTCCACAGACTAACACAGCACATTCGTAAATACCAAGCCTGTATACTCACGCACCATCACACAACATGCACAGACACGCACGCAGAAGCCAGACATGCACGCACACGCTGACCAGGCCCCGAGCACGGGTCCCTCCACTTGCCGTGCCTGCTTCATGCCACCAGGTGGTGGCTGCAGAGATGGCGGGCACCCTGAAAAGACTGGGTGTGGCATCCATATTCCTGCCACCTGCCCGGCCCGATCTGCCTGGAAGGCAGTCCTCCCCTCTCCAGGTGGCTCAGCCCAGGGGCACACCTGGAGCCCAAAGCCCCGGAGCTCCCACCCCAAACTCGGGTGAGGTCCGTGAGGTGCGGTCTTTCCCCGACAGGTGCAGGCCTGCGGGAGGGCAGGGCCAGGGCCAGGGCGGGGCCACACTGGGCTGCACCCCTGAGTCCACTACCCACTTGGCAAGTTGCTTATTGACAGTAGAGGGTCTCAGTCCTGCGCACAGCCCCTCTGCCAACTCGCAAGCCCAGCATTCCCCCCTCCGCCCCCCTCCCCCTGCCAGGGCTTCCGAGAGCCAGAGCCGCAGAGATACAGAGCTACATGGACATGCTGAGCCCGGAGCTGAGCCTGGCCCAGGGCAAGATGGAGAAAACCACACCGCCGCCGCCACCCAGCTTCCCGCCGCCACCCCCGCCCCCAGACACCCAGCTGCCCCCTCCCCCTCCGGGCTACCCGGCCCCCAAGTCCCCCGCAGGGCTGCAGGCAGCTGACATCTACATGCAGACCAAGAGCAAGCTCCGCCACGTGGAGACCACGGGCTTCCGGAAGGAGGTAGTGAGCCTTCGCCTACCGCCTGCCTCTCAGCGCCCGGGCTGGTGGGGGTCATGGAGGCCAAGGACTGCCCGGCTCCTGGGCACCCGACAGGGGTCCCTGGGCCAGTGGCCTGTTCAAGAGTCCATATTCCTGGCAGCCCCATGGGGGCTCAGGGCTGGGCACTGGGGAGAGGGAGATGGGTAAGACCAAGCCGCCGCCCTCTGCAGAGCTGGAGGCAGAGAAGGGGCTGGAACATACACCCAGACAGTGGGGCCCCTCGGGGGCTGGGTCCTCGCCACCTCTCGCACAGAATGGCAGGATAGTCATGGAGTGGCATTCAGTCAGGGCTGAGGGAGGAGTCAAGCACAGGCCCACCCGGTTTGGGGCTGGAGGTCCTGCAGGGAGGTGAGGTGAGTGAGGGGGCAGGCCAGGCCGCAGATGAGTCCTGGGGAGAAGGGGAGGAGTCCGTGTGGGCGTGTTGAGTGCCAGGTGCTGGGGAGGGCAGGGCCTCTGGGGTCCTGGCTGAGGCTCGGGAGTGGGGCTGGGGGTCAGAGGGCTGGGCTGGCACCTTAGAGTCCTAGGCAGGGAGGCCCAGAGGGGCCCTGCCTACAGGCCCAGGGGACCCAGCACAGCTGCTCTGAGAGCAGGGGCAAGGGCGGCCTGAGCCCCCAGGTGGTGGAGTGTGGGGTGGAGGCCCCGGTGGGTCCTGTGGGAGCCCCGACCTTGCAGTTAGTTCCCTCTCAAGCCCCAGGCAGGCCACTCCAGGGCGAGCTAAGTAACCAGTTCGCACAGGTGACCCGGTCACAAGGCCACTGCGGGGAGGGGAGGCACGGCCCGCACAGTGACTGCACCGCCCCTCTCGTGCCACCTCAGACCAAGCCCCCCGTCGGTTCCCCTTTCATCCTCAGAAGATGCGGGCCCAGGACTTTCCAGACCGGCCTGTGGGCCCTGCCCAAAGCCACAGGGCAGGTGGCTGGCCTCTGCCCCCTCCCCTCCCTGAGCCAGAGCGCCCGGACCTCGGTCCGTTCCCCCTCCCGGCGT